CGCGCCACCAAGGACAAGCAGGAGGCTTCAGGCCCTGCTGTGGCCTGCTGTTTTCCCTGCCCAGAATCCCCTTCTTTTTCTCTGTTAGGTAAAAGGAATGCCTCCACTCTCAGCACTTGTGGTTTGAGAGGGCTGACTCACCTCCAGCTCCACAGTGGGCATGAAGCCCAGGCATATGCCACAAGCAACTGGCCACAATGACAAGTGCGAGGATGGGCACGAGATCCAATATTGCCAATGAGAGGTAGCCCTGGGTTGTTAGATGGATCTGTTGGAATGAAAGAAGCATGTTCTACTCCTGGAGTCACTCTGGAAATGGAGCCTAGAGCTACTGGCAGCCGTTTTATCTCATGGAGAAGAAACCCGCCCAAGAAGGGAGCCAAAGGAAAGCAGGGCCAAGAGATGGCTCCGGACTGGACTCTGGTCACATCATTTGAGTCCCTGAGACCAGTATGAACCCTGGACCTTTCAAGTATGTGAGTCAATAAATGTCTCTGTCACTTCAGTCGATTTGAGTAGGTGTCTGTGATTTGCAATAGGAAGAGTCTTGACAGACATGTCCATAAAGATATGACATAATGAATAATTCCTCGTATCTCAGGCAGTGTGCATATTGCCTTGGTTTAGATTAGACACAAAATCAGGAATGGGTGTGTTGAGCCAGTTCAGCTTCCTGCTCAGCACAGAAATCTCCTGAATGAAACACACAATTCTGATTCTTGACACGATAGTGGTCAAATATGACATGAAGGAGGGCTCACTTTCATCTCTGGAATCTATCCAACCTTTTGATATATTCAGTCTTAAAGGTTTTCATGGGGAACTGACATCTAGAGCTGTGAAATGACTATCAGCCTTTTGTTTCTGGAGAAATACAGACCAAGGCTGCTCGAAGGAAGGTCTTCCATCTGTAGCTCTACGCAATGGCCCCTTCCTCTGATGGAGCAGGCGCTCCTTACTTACAGCTATAATTCAGGTTTCCGTCCGAAAGTCATGAATTATTACTGGGAGGCTTGCCTCTGCCTCTCACTCACATCTTTTGCCATTCTGATTCCTTCTGTCCCTGAGTTCGATGAGTTAGACTGAAAAATGTTTAGTACTGTTTCTTATCTTTCTGTTTCTTTCTTCTTAATTCCTACTGCAAACCACTGTGGGTTATACACTAATTTCTTCAGGCCCGACTGCATCAATAATCTGCCAATTTTTTTCAGTCCTGGGATTCCTCACTCATTCCACTTCTGCCAGTATGATCTCTTTAAAATGCAGTGCAGATCATACCTTACCCCCTGCCCCAAATTATCCTTCTACTGTTTACCAACTTAACCCTGACATTCAAAGGCCTCTATACTCGTCCCCTCTCCCTCCCAATGTTCTGAATCCTTCTGCTCATCATGCCCCAGTCCTCAGACTCCAACAGAGCCACGGCCCCGCCCGGCTCGCTGAGCCCTCCCCACAGCCATGCTTGTGCCTTCCTCCCCCTCAGCCTTTGCAGTCCCCATTCTTTCTCTTCTCCATTGATTACAGCCTGGTCTTTAAAACCTAACTCAAATCCTTCTTTCCTTACCAGTTTAGAATGACCTCTAATGCACCCACTGCAAACACCACTTAGTTGGCAGTTAGTCACATGCTAATTTTTATTGTAATTTAAATTGTGAAGTCTATGAGTCTTTTCATTTCTATTACAAGTTACATGGGGGCAGTTACAGAATCCTTATACATTTTTGTGTGACGGCAGAGCCCAGGACTGTGAACGCTGGCCAGTGGGTTATATTTAGGTTATACTGATAGGTTATATTTTTTGTCTCAAATGGAGGAACTGACTAAATGTGGGAAGAATAGAGGTACCTCATAACTGTTAACATAAAACCAAATATTAGGTGAAATCCAAAATGGTAAAATAACCACGAAGAGATTTTTAAATAGACAGATGTTGATTACCACTGAGAGACAGCTGGCTCTTTTCAGATGTGATTCACATAACCCAGTCTTCAGGGTCTTTAAAAATGGATTTTCCCTCCTACTGCTCAAAAATCTCCAGTTCAATCTCAGAAAAATTATGTGATAGAGATTTAAATCTTTCAAACTCAAACTTGGCAGTGAGGGTGGGTGGGTGGCTGGGGTTAAGGCAGTAGGCTCTTGCCAAACACCTTGAAGGAGACTTGGTGGGTGGACCTGCACTCACTGGTGTTTTCCCGCATTCTGGTTCTAACGAAGGGTGGACTCCTCCCCGTAGACCTAGGGGTCTATGTAATTTAAATTGTAACTTAAATTGTGAAGTCTAGGGGCACAAAGGCAGCTTTTGCCGGAAGGTCTCAGGATTACACCTGAGGAAGATGAGATAGAAACGCTTCCAGAGCAAACCCGGTAGTGCGTAAGGGCAGACAGACTCCATGCTGTGCCCCCAAGCCCAACATGCCTGAATTTCAGGAACAAAAGACTTCACCTGCTTACTGGGACCGACCTTATGTTAGGATATCAAGTAGCCACTGACTTCAAAGTGAGGAGAGAAAGTAAGGCTCACCCTGTGCAAACGGTTAGGAAAAGCTGCAGTAAGAAGACTCCTCAGAAGAGTCTCCTGAACGGTCAGCCATATTCACCACAGACAAGGGAGAAGATGGCGGCTGCTTGCCACATATTTGCCAACCCTAATTCAGTCATAAATAAAGCTCTCCCTAACTAAGTCCGTCAAAAACCTACCTGTCCTCAGCTCCATTCAAGTCCCAGCCACCCTGAGGCCTGTCCCCCAACTCCCGGTGTTCTCTTCATTTTAATTCAGTGGTTACATCAGGAACACTCATGCAGCCCTACCACGTTCTGTGGCTGTTGTCTGCCATCGATCACTGAACATGTCCTCTATATATGCCTGGGAAGGCAAGGATTCTATTAAAGTGGGATTAAACCTTCGCTGTGGTTAATCAGTGGCCGCTGAGTTGTGGCTAGACTACGCCTAAATTAGAAATTGTGGGGAATATTTAGCAGTTCGTGGAATGTGAGCAACATGAAGGAGGGTGTGTTCCTTCTCTCATGCTCCCCTCTGCTGGCTCCTGTGTGTCCCTTGGGGTGGGCTCATTGACTCCTGGAGGTGGTGCAGGACAAGGACAGACTGGCTTTGTTCTTGTAACACTTGGGGGCCTGCTCTGGAATAGGAGAATGCTTCTGGGGAGGTTTTCAGAGCCCGGATCCCCCAAGGAAGAATATGCGAAGTGTGTGTGTCGATGGAAGGGTACATACCTCCTGGAGACCATGTGGGTGGAAAGGAGCATTTCAGTTTTATGTCTACAGCAGATTCCTCTGATTTTTCCTTGTCACAAAATCCCAACCTTGTCCAAGTGTCACAGGTCCTGTGAGGGGCCCAGGCCCCTCCCCAGGCCCAGGGGAGGGTGGGAGGGTGTGAATATCAATTAGTCAGAGATCCAATTTGAGTAATTCACTTCTTGGCCATGATTGGTTTAGGCATGAACACAGATTGCGATTTTGGCTAATAAGCTGCAAGGGGAAATGTGTTGGGAGATTCTGAAAAGGTTTTACTCATTCCTAAAAGGGACTATATGAAGCGAAATTTTCTTTGTTCTCTTTTGGATGTTGCTGTATGAGAATATGACGCTTGGAACCACTGCAGCTACCTTTTAATCATGAGGGGAGACATCTAAAGACACTGAGTATGGCAGAGAGAGGGTAAGAACCTGGGCCCTTGATGAGTTTGTTCAGCTCTAAACGAATCCTAGAAAGTCCCCATCTCCAGACTTCTTTTACTGTATTTCATCTCCGTTAAGATGTATTTTTTTGTGTACATTTTAACAATGCTGAAATTAGAATGCATGTTTTATGGTAAGTCATAGCTAAACTGGTAGCATTTTTTCCTTTCTTAGTGGAACTTAAAATAAAATTGAGTGTTTTACAAAGAGCCACAGCTAAAATTTCCTGAAATGCGGAATGTCCTCATTGTTACCTATCTTTAGTAGATGCTCTGCTACTCCCCTCTAAAAGCATCCCAACTGACATAGCTCTTCTTCTCGCAGGAGGATGCTGTGTGGGAAGAGTGTTTGTAACAAGAGGCAGCACAGCTGCGGGCCAGCCCTTCAGGAGGACCTCCCTGCTCTGAGTGGGGCCTGCTCTCTCTCTCTCTCCTGGAAGAGACTCCACTCTTTTGATTCAGAGAAAATGACCTGCGCAGGATGCTCCTCCTCCCTGGCATAGCCGTCACCACAGCAACTGAGGCTTACTCTATGGCTGGTGAAGATCTAGAAGTAGGTCTGCTAATCCCAGGGCAACAATGCTCAGTCCCTAGTAAGAGCACAGCCTTAGGGGGGCACCCTGCTCCACACTCCTCACCCCTTCCTACTGTTGCAGGGGCAGAGGTACTGCCTCTTCCACTGAAGCCTCTTCCCAGGGCAGCCCTCTCATCTCCCCTTCCTCCATCCCTCCCTTCCCTCCTCCTTCTCTCTCCTCCCCTCCTCTCTGCAGTCCCTAGTCATGGGGAGACTGAAATGAGCACCTTCAAATGTTTATTTTGAGTTATGTTTTTACCTATACAATTTAAAATATAAAGGCACAAAATAAAATCCCGCAGGGGTCCTGTGTCACCCCAAATGGGCTAGGGAATGACACACTTGTGGTGTACCCACTTTACTTCTGAGGCAATAGGGAGCTTTCTCATTATTTGAAGTGCATTTTAGCTGCATTTCCTTGAGACTTCTTTTCTTGAAAAGAAGCACAATAGGCTGCTCTTACTGGCCCCAGCCTCTCTTGATTTTGGAAAGTGGAGGGGTAGACTGTGTGAGGTCAAGGAGAAGGGGTCACAACAGCACCCTACCTGTTTCCAGCACACATCCTGGAGGGCTAGACCAGTGCACAGGGGCTCAGAGGCAGCTCGTTTCAGCCTCTTTCCCTGCCCCTCTTCCCTCCCCCTCCCACCAAAGTTCAAGTGAAGCTTCTGCTCTAAGCCTCTGCACAGCCCCATCTATTCCAAGCTGAAGCTTAGGGAAGCTGGAGTCACTCACCCACGTAGAAATACTCTGGGGACTTGTCTTCTGACGATAACTCCTTTACGGCACCTCCGAACCGAAACCATAGTCCAAAAGCAATGACGGCTGATCCAGCCAGCTGGAAGGCAAACGACACTGTGTTGACAGTGGAAGGGGAGAGCATGCAAAGATCCAAGAGCAGGCTTGAGGCACAGGATGCTGACGGGTCATACCTTTAGAAATCACCTAGGCCAACCTTCCCGTTTTATAGGGCAGAAAATGGAGCCTCCGAGAGGTGAAGTCATGTGCACAAAGCCCTTCAGACCCCTGATGTGACATTGGACTGGGTTTTTCTGAGATCAGGGTTTTTCCGTGATGCCAGGCTCTCCTGTGGTTATGGGGCACACACAGCACAGCCAGGGAGGTGTCTCAAAAGCAATGTTCCAATAACACTCCCTCTGGAAGGCATCTGCCCCCTGCCTTTCTGTCCCTTGCTGGGCACATTGGATCTCCTCACCCACACCACGAGAGGCGACTACATCTTAGCCACCAGGTCACCAAGAGCAAGATGAACTCCAAGACCTGGGGGAAACCCACTTTTTTAAATGGGAAGAAAATACGGCAACCTCAACCTCAGAACCCACCCACACCTCATGAGTGCAGTCCCCAAATAGAAAGCTGTTTTAGGGGCATCTGTAACCCTCTCCCTGCTTCCTCTATGGCCACTGCTCTGAATGGGGATGGTTTTGCTGGTAGAGAGATAGCCCAGTCTTTTTTTTTTTTTTTTTTTGGTTGCTATTTTGAGTTTCCATGGAAAGTGAGAAAGGAAAAAATAATTTTCTGAAAAAGCGTGGTCTGTGTGCTGTGTGGTTCATGGAGAGGCTGAGTGGCTGGCGCAGGCACTGGCCGGGCAGGCTGGCAGCTGGTAGAGTCATCACCCAGTTTCCTCTCCTTCCCTACTCTGAAGGCTTTTGTGAGGCTCAGCGTGGAAGTTGGAAGCCCTTTCTGCCATCTCAGGACTGTCACTGCTGCGTGCCAGTAGGCTCTAGCCATGGTGTTCTCTCTCTACAAACACCACTCTCGAATTTCACTGTATCAATCCATCAACAGATATTTACTGGGCACCTTCTGGGCTCAGGGCACCATGGGAAAGTAAGCGAGATACAAAAATGCCTCCTAATTCTGCTGGCCCATCCAGTTGCTGTTGGGCTGCCCTAGCCTACCACTAAATGAACAATTGAGAGGCTCCCCTTTCCCAAACAGAGCAGAGCACACACAGATGCTGGGAATAGGAGCGTAGAGGATGGGAATCAGAGAAGCCGAGGTCTAAAAAGGAAAAATTGTGCCAGAGGCAACATAGTCCTTTTTATATAGAAGACTTCTATCTTGCTGGGCAGCTTATAAAGAACCTGACACTACCCTTCCAGATGATCTGGCAAGATTTCTGCGAGGACTTTATCCCTCTTCCCCTTCTATCCCCCAAGACCAATCCCCTCTGTGGCCAACTTCTTCAGAAAAGTGGTGTGACTTGTGAGGAGGAGTCAGAGGGGCAGAGTTCTACCAGGTGGACTCTCCCTTGTGGAATAACTAAGAGTTTCCGGTACTCAGGGGAAAGCACTAATTGCATAATGTGAGGGGCAACTGAAGAAGTTGGGATCAGTCAGCTTTTGAAAGACCTCTGCGTTTAAAAAAGAGTGGCATGGCATGGAAATGTACTGAAAAGAGCCTTGCTAAAACTTTGACAATATCTATGAAGGGCAGGATTCCAGGTGACTTTTTTTCCTTCTCAGTATATTTTCTAAGTCCTCTGCATTAAGCATGTATTTCTCTTGTAACTTTAAAGATATATTTTAAAAGTGTTACACGGTAGTTTCTATGTTCAATCCAGAAGAAGTGGGGAGAGTCTTCTTGGGTCATGCTTTAACTTGGGAGGACACTAGCTTTGAGGTCCTTGCTGTTCCTGTGCAGGAAAGAGAGCAATGCCCTTGGTCAAGCACCTAGGGTCCTCCTAGGAGCACTCGGAGGCTGCCTGGGACAATTATGCACAGCAAAGCCTCGCAGGCAAACTCCACGCCCTCGTCTCTGTGGTGACTTGATGGAAAGACAGAGTTTCCAAATACAAGGCAAAATCTATTGACAGAGGCATCAGGCCAAAGCCAGCAGCCCACCGAGCAGACTGCGGAGGAGGTGACTGGTCCCAGGGACACCCTACCGCGAGGTCACATTTTTGGAATCTCTGTACACAAACTCTAATTTATAGCTGTCTGGGATTATCCTCCCAGACGGAATACATTTGTCCAGTTCTGGCACAGATGTGTTTGATGCATAATGGAAAATTAAAAGAGAGGTTGCAATTTAAAGCCATCCGGCAATGGGAAAAAATCTGCGCTTGCTCATCCATTCCACCAACCCCAAACCACACGGGTTTCCTCCTGGGTCAAGGAAACTGTGGCTTAGCTGAACGTCATCACTGTGTGGAAGGGAATCCTCCCAGCAGGCTGCTGCCGGCTGTGTCAAGCACGCTGAGGGTGAGGGCATGGCCAGGGCTGATGTTGCTTGTGATGAGACTTGGGGTGATCACCGCTTTGGAAAGTGGCGTTGGCACGGACCACACAGCCCTTTAGTCCTTTTTATTTATTTATTTATTTATTTATTTATTGATTGAGACAGAGTCTCACTCTGTCACCAGGTGCCAGGCTGGAGTGCAGTGACCTCGGCTCACTGCAACCTCCACCTCCTGGGTTCAAGCAATTCTCCTGCCTCAGCATCCCGATTAGCTGGGACTACAGGCGTGCGCCACCATGCCCAGCTAATTTTTTTGTATTTTTAGTAGAGATGGGGTTTCACCATGTTGGCCAAGATGGTCTTGATCTCTTGGCCTTGTGATCTGCCTGCCTTGGCTTCCCATAGTGCTGGGATTACAGGTGTGAGCCGCCGCACCTGGCCTTTAGTCCTTTTTAACTCACCATTCCTCTAAGATTCATGGAATGCTTTGTGTTCACTGGGCTTTGGTTGGTCTATCACACACTAGAAATTGCTTGAAAAAAATTCACACTAGTTCTAATCCAGTCAGGAACACAGTGAGTAAGTCAGTGTCACTAAGTTCTCAACACTCCTGTGATCCATAGAGCTGGAGGAAATGGTATCCACAATGATCTGAAGGAAGTCTTCAAGCCTCTCTAATCCTAAATTTTAACCCCAAAAACTGCCTCATGCCCACGTTCTCTCTTCTCCTTTTAATCTCAACCACTCTTTTGCATTCAGACATGACATTGCATCTCAGCCAATGTTAAAACGAACGAGAAATGAGAAGCTACCATTTTTTTTAACCTTTCCTTCTTCTGCCCCCAGCCACATCTCCCTTCTCTGTCTTTCTTCCTTGCATGTTTATTAAGAATAAACTATGGTCCAGGCCAGGTCCTGTACTCTGCGTCATGGAAACGATGATGAAAAAGACATGGCTCACGGTCTAACGTGGTGGATAATCACATAAAGTACTAAGTGCAATATAATGCAGGAAGTGTGCTGAAGAGGAGCAGTGTGCACACTGCCAAGGGACTGGAGCAAACTGCAGCCTCTGGAATGCAGGAGGAGTCATTAAATTTTGATTTACATCTTGAAGAATGAGTTAGAAGTCACGGGGCAAGGAAGGACTGGCGGTGGAAGAGAACTCCAGGGAGAACTGGCAGCACAGAGGTCCATTTCCTTACCTCGATGCTGTGTTTCTTAAGGAGGGTTTGGGGGAGGTCAGAGGCTGGGGCTTGAGAGGGTGTGGGGCAGACCATGACTCGGCTTCTCCTTTGCTTGCTACCATCGTGGAAAGCCCATAGCAAGGCTGCCTGAGGGGAGGAGGGACAGAAGCTCACATTTTGATGGAAACCATCAGGAGCGTGAATGTTACCTGGATGTCACACATAGCAAGGAGCCACAGAGAAAGGCCTGAGAAACTGAAGACCAGAGAGAGGACACCAGGGGAGGGGACATGGAGAGCTGTGAGAACAATGAAGTCACTATACCCATTGAAGCACTTTGCTGAGGGCTGCCTTGCTTCCAGGACCGGTGCCAACCCCAGTGCCTTTGGAACAATTAAAACCAGAAATGCTGCTGTTTTTCCAGAAATGGACTGTTTCATACAGAAGCACAAGTTGGACTTTGATGTTAATCCTTTAAAATACACTTATTAGGCATTTATTACAAGGCAGAAGACAAGGTTTCAGAGTCCTACTCCTGGGGCTCAAAGACACGCTAATCCCCACTGGGTGGCCCAGGAGGGAATCCAACCCTGCAGGTGCTTCAATCCAGAAGCAGCCCACCAGAATGCATGTGAGAAGATGCCGGAGAGCACCATTCTTTGTGTCCTCCCTCCCTCTTTTTTTTCTTTTTTTTTGACAAGGTCTCACTCTGTTGCCCAGGCTGGAGTGCCGTGGTGCCATGACAGCTCACTGCAGCCTCAACCTCCTGGGCTCAAGCGATCCTCCACCTCCAAGTAGCTGGGACTATAGGCGTGCATCACCACACTGGCTAATTTTTGAATTTTTTGTAGAGATGGGGTTTTACCATGTTGCCTAGGCCAGTCTCAAACTCCTGGACTCAAGTGACCCACCCACCTCAGCCTCTCAAAGTACTAGGATTACGGGCATGAGCCACTGCACCCATCCTCATCATTCCTTCTGAGGATCAGTTGTATGTCAAGTACTCAGAGAAAGTGATAAAATAGTATTTAAAGACAAGAGTGTGCCAATTATTAAAAAGAGGAGGAGAAAAATAGTTTAAAAAAGAGATAATGCAGGAAAAGGAGCAGATAGTGACAATAATTCCAAGTCATTAAAAGGGAACCACTAGATACAGTTATAGTATGTATTGTCATGGGCAAGTTATTTCAGTAGCTAACCATATTCCAGAGAGTTTGGAGGACATGAAATTGCAAATTGTAAGCATATGTCTTTAGTGAAAACTGTGTGTTCTAAAACTAAAGAAACAGAAGATGGACTGAAAACATGATTAGGAAGCATTTAAAGCAAAGTGGATGGATAAAAAGTTTCCTTTAAGAGTGGCTATCTGCCAAAAACAAGTCATTGTGCATGAAGCAGAGCTTCCTAATAGATTTCAATTTTGTTTTACTGTATTTACTTTCATTTT